GACACCAAATAAAAGTCTCTGAAATACTAGGTCATTACTACAAAATTTGGATAAAATTGGATTGTTTTCTACACACAGAATGACATCTCAAGGGTAAACATCGTGTCTCAGCAGAGTAGAAACTTTCCATATCTGACAGAATGAGCTTGTACAAAGTCAGCAGCCCAGAAAGACTGTTCCTTGCCACATTTATTTTTCTCACCATGTCTGTCTGAATGTACCTTTTATAACTTCAACAACATTGCATTTAGGGTCAATACTTCCAATGTGCTTGGGATGTGCTGGATTAACTTCAACGTTTCCTCCAAACAACAAAGCTGTCAACGACAAAAATAAAGTAACAAATAATTTCACAATAAAGAGGCCATGAACAGCATATTTTATAGGTAGGGAGACAATAATGACTGAACAGAACAAGGATTTACCACTTCTTAACAAGCTACACTATATAACACATATATAGAAGACTCCTTTTTATTCTTAAAGGAAACTATTTGTACTTGTTTTACACTAGAAATTGGCGTCCTGTGGCCTTTTTTATTGCCCCAGACTCCCCTCTCTGATCTGGAAGAACTAATGACTATTTCCTACCATTTAGAGCCACAGAAAAACTGGTTTAACTTCCCCCCCACAAAGCCTTAAGAAGAAGAAAAAAATAGAAAACCCCAGCTTTGCTTGCACGCATGATATGGCTTTGCAGTCTCAATGTCAGCATTATGCCCACTGTGAGTCTTGGCTCACTAAAATCTAATTGAAATCCTTCTAGAAGTTTTCTTACCCTATTCCATAAAAAAAAAAAACATACTATCAAGTCAATAAAAGTACTTACTGTGTTGATTAAGCAACATTCGGATTGAAATCCGACTCATGAAGAAGCGGTCTAAAAAATACTGCACATTCTGACTAGTCACTGGGTCAACCCCATAGTTGTCCTTGTACTCGATCACACCTTGAGCCATGGTAGGAATGACATCATTATGGCGGTTCCGGATTGTTATCACAGTATCTTTAAAACTGAAATCAAGTATGGTATATTTGTATTAAAATGCTAGTACATCTGTCACTGAAAGCATATTGAATTTTAACTACTACAAAAGCAAGAAACTAAAGAAAGTATCCTACTAATCAACAAAAATTGTTCTGTTTAAAACAGTATAAAGAAGCAATCTTTTAAAATGGATTTTGGACTTCTAAACACAAGATAGCATAGTCACAGTTATTTTTAGGTCAAGGTTATCATCTGTATTTATGTTATGTCCTGCTTTGGTTTAAATACTTAAGAAATAGTGACTGGGATTTAATGCATAGAGCTCAGCTCACAGGAGGTTTCCAACAATCATAGGTGTTTGGTTTTTTTACCAATTTCTTTTTCTCTCAGTATTCCCATGAATATTTTCTCTATGTTTGGAGAAAGGATAGCGGTAGGGTGTAGAGGTCGCAGATACCTCTCTGTCAGCAGGAATTTGAAAGCGAACAGAAAGCAAAAGTGCACTTTCAATTTCACTTTGTCAAATAAAACTTCTTCTTGTTCTATCATTTCTTCCAAAACTTCTTTCAGACACATTCTATCCATTGAATCAAGCATATATATTGATATTTACTTCCGATTCCATTTTTTCAAAAGTCCAATTTTTCATTTTTATTCTCTGTGTCATGTAGAGAAAATTCAAAACAAGTTGACTTTCTCACAGGAAGGATTCTTTATAATTAATTCCAGCTCTTACTTCAAATTTATCTGAACTCCTAATCCATTTATAATTTTCTTCAAAATCTTAATTAGCTTTTTGCTGTTTATTTCAATTATGTTAAGTACTTAAGCTTGAAGAAATTAAGCTTCTTAACTAGTTAAGAGTTAAATTTCTCTTTCGAGAAGGCTGAAAGCAGTCACATAGTATTTTTAGACTTGTTGATCCAATGGTTTCTTACATGTGCAAAGTAGTTAATAAGCAATTTTGGAATAGGATTAGGAAAGGAAGTATGCAAACTTAGTATCCTTTTAAAGACACCAACTCTGGTTTGAGCAAGATGGCTCATCCCAGTGCTCAAAGCACTCTGCACAAGGATCAATTATCTGGAATACTTGTGGGTGATATCCCATCTTCTTTTTCCAAAGAGGTTCAAAGGGCCAATCTACATTCTTTGCTATAGTTGTTGGCTCCATTTTTCAGAGTTGTCTTCAGTCCACCATTTCTTCCTCCAAAGTCCATCTTACAATTCTTTTAACACAAAATACCATTAGAATTTTTCAACTCAGTAGCTGTTCAAATTCTAACAGATAAACTCTCCTCCTAAAATATCTCATCTCTGAGAGATTATGTACCCTATGAAGGGCCATTTCCTTAGAAAAGCATAATTTAATCTCTTCACAGCTAGCATGTCTTAACACGCTATAGATTCATGACAATAGAAGTTAACAGTTTAAGCTAGCAGAAGAAATAGAAGTTTTATACAGTATATAGTGCATCTGCCAATAAATACAATTTGTAATTTCTAAATAAATTGTTTCATTTTATGTTTTAAAAGCAATTGTTTAAGGAATAAAACAAATCATTACAAGAAAAAAAAAGAAGTAACAGTTTATTACAACCTAAGTCTCACTGAGATTATTTCTTAAGGATGAATGTCTCCGATTGACATGCGGATTTTGGACAGAACAATGGCATTGTGGTTGAATTTAAAGCTAGTAAATTGAAGCAGAGCCATTAAAATTAAGTTACTCAAATTCTAAGCAAATCCACTAATTTCAATGGGTTAACTCAAAATATTACTGTATCACTTCATTATTAATACCCTTAAAGAAAATTAAGAAACTAATCAATTGAACTAAAAAACATTGATTGTACATGTAGGTCAAATCTCGCTAATTTTAATACAGTAGTAATTCTAAATGAATGACATAGAGTGGAATTTATTTTGTGAGTTTATTATTTTTAGACAACCACCCCGATAACTTACAAAGAATAAATTATTTAAAAGAGATTTTTCTTCATACTTAATATCCCACTATTTTTTGAGATTTATACAATAAAACAAATATAATAAAACTATAGCTCTGAATGTCTCATGCTAGAAGACTGGCATAAGAAAAACATAAGATAATCCATTGTTTTTGAGAAGGCCAAAATGTCTCACCGAGAAACAGCCTCTGTATCATCAGCATTTTTGTCTTTAAAATCAAGGATCTCCTGCAGACTTTGTACATACCTAAAAACACAATTTCTGCATGTTTGTCATAAAGAAAAATAAACAATTATGACTACTTTCAAATTTCAGCACATTCTAATTTTTTTAACAAGAGAAAATGTTATTATTAATAGTCTCCACATATAAGATAATAAGTACTATCCATTTCTGTAAGTGTGTATGAATGCCCATTATATCTTACCTCAGCCAAGGAGCAGGACACCTACTATGAACATGGATTTTGAAAAGTAAAACACTTCCTAGCTTTACCATTCTATATTCTAGCCACCCACCAGTGAAGATTTTTTTTCCTCACAACAAAAGGGTCTCCAATATATCAAAAACTCCTTCAAGAGGAAAGGGGAGCACTTCTTCCAGGTTTCCCCTTCCTTTTGCAAACCCTTCCTTTCTCAACATGTAAATTTGTTTCCCTCCTACAATAGAGGCCCTCTTTCTAAAAATCGTTCAAAACCTGTTTCAAATATTGCAGTGCTATGCCCATTCAGTTGGAAATAAGCTTTACTGAATTAACTGTTTACATTCATGCAGCATTCTAAAGATAATTGGGTACAGAGATCAACCAGATGGTATCATTCATTCAAATAGGCCAAATCTGACTTCTTGAACAATTTAGAAAGGACAGAACGTCACTATGTAATGTTATTGCTACTGCCAATTCAGCACAATATGCTTGAGCAGAAAAAAACAAAAACAGATTAAAACAAGGGTCTCTATGTTCTCTCTTTGGCTAGGATAACTTTTCATTTGCATCATGCTTTGATGCCTAGGTCTCGTTTTGTAAATATTACTATTAAGTGAAGTCAGGCTCCAAAACCACAAGATGAAGTTGTATATGTGGGCAAGAAGTTTGCCCTTAAGATTTCTTCAAGTAAAGGATGATAGTTGACAGATGATGATATGTTAGGAGTCTGGGCTGTGAGTTCATAACCAGTGTTGGTATCTCCTGCCTCTGGCACAGAGCTATGTAGGTGGTGAGGGAGAAAATATAAGCCAGATGTCTACTCACTGTGCTAGATTCAGTGCATGGGTACTATTAGGCGCCTTATAACCAACCATAAGTCTCAGCTTCTAATATTTTGCATCTTCACATATCTTTGTACAATGTTCAAATTTGGTTGCATGAGGCTGTTTAAAAAAGAAACAGGTTCTTACCAACTCTGAACAAGCTGAACTGAAGGTGTTTTAAGAAGATTGTCTGGAAGCAGACTTATTTCTTTCATTATGTTTGCCAATCTTACAGGCAACTCTTGTCGCAGAAACATAAAAGAGGTTTTCTCACAAGCATTGTCAGATCCTATGGGAAAAATGTCATAAGGAAACAATTTTGAAACCACAGTAAATAGTTTATAAACAATTCATTACGCAGTTCATTCAGGATCATAGGGTGGTAAATAATAACAGCTCCTCTATAAATCCTGGATAACGTTTTATCATGACAGTAAATATAGGTTTACATAAATTCAGAAAGTAGTATTCTGAAGTTGAGAATTGTACCAGTAGTTAGACTAATGTGGCTTGGTCTCCCATGAAGACCACATTGGATTCTTAATATTCATGATATTAAAGTTCAAGATACCTAACATTTTATGTTACTGATTGCGGCTTTATAGATATTTTAAACTATTCTTTTTTGAAGCAGCTCAGGATCAATGAAAGATATTACAAAAAATAATTTCTTCTTCTCCATACAGATAGTCCTCGACTTACAACAGCTCATTTAGTGACCCTTTCAAAGTTACAACGGCACTGAAAAGAGTGACTTATGGTTGTTTTTCACACTTACGATGGTTACGTAGTCAAAGTTCAAATGCTTGGCAACTGCTCATATTTATGACCATTCCAGTGTTCCAAGGTCATGGGATTTCCTTTTTCGACCTTCTGACAAGCAAAGTCAATGGGGAAGCCAGATTCACTTAACAACCATGTTACTAACTTAACAACTGCAGTGATTCATTTAACAACTGTGGCAACAAAGGTCATAAAATGGGACAAAATTCACTTAACAAATTATCTCACTTAGCAACAGAAAGTTTGGGCTCAAATGTGGTCATAGGTTGAGGACTGCCTGTGTTGAAGAGCACAGCCATTTCTGAAGAAAATAACAGCTTGATACAAACGTGGGGAAAGAGATAATCAAAACATATCAGAAGTCTTCAGTCAAGTATAGCTTTGTGACAAAGTCTACAGATAATTTGAACATAATACCATTTCAGGGTTACTTGAAAGAGAAAAGAAAAAATGTTGTGGGCTGTGTTGAGGAGATTTAAAAATATCTTCTCTTCGATGGAACATGAATAACAGGATCAGTCCTATCATTAGGTGGAACAAAATAGCATTTTTGGAGGGCAAACTGGGATGTGTTGGTGAACTCGCCCAGGACCTGCTTTCTGCTCTCCCAACCAGAGAATCTAGTTCAGGGCACCCCCCCCTCCCGAATTGGCTCATTCTTCCTGTTAAATGCATTCATCATTTCAAGAGGAGATCTTCAGTGTTGCAGTGATGAAGAGGTAACAATACTATCGGCCTTCAAAAGCTCTCTTAGAAGGCACCACTCCTAAAGAGGATATCCTTAAAGGAAGATATAGGAGATAATGCAGGAAAAGTGCAGGGCTTCATCAGCTACTCCTACATTTAGGAATAGGAGATAATGGCCCAACATAATTTTCAATGTAATAATATAAACCGAATCGTGCTCTCTACCCTGTACTGGTTATAACTCAGTGCAAAACATATGCAGGATACATAGGCGTAAATATCTGATTGCTTTGATTATGATACCAATACCATATGTATTAAAATATCTAAAGCTAAATAACAATATTTATAATGATCAGTGCAATATTCAATTGGATATTTTTACTAAAGTTCAGCAGAAATTCTAGTCACATTGCAGAATTCACATTTGGTAGAACCAAAAGAATTATGATTTTTTTTTTCCTCCAAGGGTTTCTCCAACTTTTTTTCATGCAAAACTGCACAAGAAAGAGTTACATTGCTAGACTATATAGCTTATCAGTTCTATTACCTCAAGCAAACATACTGAAGCAAGTGGCGGTTGTAGTTTTGAGAGATACTGCTGGGAAAAATATATCCAAACACAATCCTATATTCTTTTGGATTGTGAAATGGAACCTATAGTAATTCTGAGTAATCTTAGAAGAACCGTACAGTACTGGTAATTTGCTCTATGCATATTAATACAGTGGAAGATTATAATTTCTTGAGCAATATTAGGTAGAGTAGTAGGCCTATCATTTAGCTAAAGTAATAATTATTAAGAAAAAGAAAAACCATTAAGGGTATATGTGGACAAATATGTGTGAGCCAAGCACACATTTTTATACACACAAACAGCCTTGCATATCCACCTCTTAAGACAGAACTTCAAAACTATGAAGTGTTAATGTAACAACTTGTAAATAACAACCGCTTGGAAAAATGGAATGGTCTTTTAAAAAGAAGATTTGCCCTTGAAAAGCACCCCTTGTGACCTTAGCATAGCCAAATGTTTCCATATGTTTCAGACTCACTGAAGCTCCAGCCACCAGTCAAATGGAATTTGGTATAGGTAGTCCTCGACTTATGACCACACTTGAGCCCAACATTTCTGTTGTTAAGTGAATCATTCGTTAAGTGAATCAGAACCCATTTGTTGCCACAGTTGTTAAGTGAATCCCTGCAGTTGTTAAATTAACAACACGGTTATTAAGCAAATCCGCCTTCCTCATTGCTTTTCCTCTTCAGGTCGCAAAAGGGGAAATCACATGACCTGAAACGGTCCATAAATATGAGTCAGTTGCCAAGTATCTGAATTTTGATCACATGATTAGGAGGACCCTGCAATGGTTGTTACCTAAGAGTGAAAACTCAGTCACCATTCACTTTTTTTCAGTGTGTGTGTGGGGGTCCTTGGTGCCCTTGTAACTTCAAACGGACATTAAACGAACCGTTGTAAGTCGAGGGCTAACCCGTACCTTCCAAAACTATCCGGGCAGCAACGTGAGAAACCATACCCCGCCCCCAATCCCAAGAGTCTAGATTCTTTGCGTGACAACACCCTCTGTTGCACAACCCCTTTGGTAAGCACAACTTTTGTGGTGCATTTCGGGGGTAAGGGACGCGCCAATATCCTTTTCCATCTCTTCCACCGTGTGTCCCCCTGGCAGTCGTAGAGAAGGAAACGGGTCGACAGGGCGAAGGGGGGCGGGCGGGGGGAAGGACGCGCTTCTCCGCGGCTGGAGCGGGAAGCTGCGGCTTCGGCTGCAGCCCTCCGCGCGAGGCCTCTCTCCGCTCGCCGCCTTCGAAGGCCGGGGGAGGTGGAAGCGCCTTTCCCCGCAGAGAGGGGTAGCGGTTCTCCCCCTGGGGAAAGAAAATGGTCGGCCGACGGGGGAGGAAGACTCGCAGAGGAGGAGGAGGAGGAGCAACCCGGGCTGGGGGAGGGAAGCGACCCGGCCGCCACTCACCGAAATCCAGGAACTGCTTCATGGAAAGCGGGGACGGGGAGAAGCGGCAGTAGAAATCCACCTGCTGTGGGATTGTGTTCAGCGGGGAGACGCTCCTCAGCAGCGCCCGTAGCAATCTCATGGTGGCGGCGGCGGCGGTACACCCGGAGGGGCGCAGAGCAAGGCAGCGGGACGACGAGAACGCGGCTGGGCTTCCGCCTCCCTCCTTCAGCTCGCTCCAGCCGCCACTTTGCAGCCTCTGTCCGAAAGGGACGGCCGCCCCTTTCCCGGCTCGGGGAAAGAAGGTCCGAAGAGATAAAGCAGGTCCAGCTCGGGCCAAGGCCCGGCCTATTTCTTGCCCTCCGTTAGGGGCAGGAGGGGGCGGGCGGAGAGGCGGAGCCTCTTGGGTCGCCCGGGAGGAGCGAAAGTGCGGAGCCCGCGGTAAGAAAGGAAGCGCGAGGGCCCTCGCTCGGCTCCTCCAAGTTCAATCCTCCCCGCTTTTTTCTTTGCAAACATGGGTCTCTGCGTCGACCAGGAGGTGGGCTCTCTTTCCCTGCGTTCCCGTGCAGGGTTTTCAGCGGGACGGGGCCAGGTTGTTCCTGCGAGGGACGAGCGGATTGTCTCCCAGGGCGCCTTTGGTGAGCAGTCCTGCCCAGGGGTGGGATTCAAATTGTTTAAGAACCGGTTCTGTGGGCGTGGTTTAGGTGGTGGATGTGGTTTGGTGGTCATGTGACTGGATGGCTATGGCTTGGTGGTCATGTGACTGGGTGGGTATGGCCAACTCAACATCACTCCCATGAGGCTCCATCTCCTCACCTGGCCTCATGACTGTGGGGATGCTGCAACAGTTGTAAGTGTGAAAAACGGTCATAAGTCACTTTTTTCAGTGCCATTGTAACTTTGAATGGTCACTCCACACAAGCAAAGTACCACCAAAGGAGGGGAAAAAAACTCCAGAAAAGTTCCTGAGACAAGAAGTCTAGTCCTGCCAGGAATGTAATAAGGGTTCATGGAGAGGCAGTTTCCGTAAGCAACACCAGAATGTTTCCTTCCTGGCTTCCTTACAGGATTAGGCCAGTAATATCTTCTAACAACCAGTTCTCCGAACTGCTTAGAATGTTTACAACCGGTTCTTGGGAATAGGTGCAAACTGGTAGAATCCCACCCCTGGTCCTGCCTGAATCTTTCTAGCTAGCCAGTACAGGTAGGCCTTGACTTACGACCTCAATTGAGCCCAAACAAAATCTTTGTTAAGTGAATTTTGCCCCCTTTTACCATCTTTCGTGTTTCTTCACTGAAGAAGCTTCTCGGAGGAGAAGCAAAAGATCTTCAAAAGAAAAACCAAGAAGTCCAGTTGCCTCTTGAAAAAGCACCTTTGGGACAACTATAGCCTGGATGACTGAGAATCTCCATAGACCTACCGTTGTTTAGTGAATCACTGCAGTTGTTAAGTTAGTAACACTGCTGTTCAGCAAATCTGGCTTCCCCCTTGACTCTACTTGTAAAAAGGTTGCAATATGGGATCATGTGACCCACACACACATACCCCAGGATGCTGCAAGTCATAAATATGAATCAGTTGCCAAGCAGCCGAATTTTGATCACCTGACCATGGGGATGCTGCAATGAGAAGTGTGAAAAATGGTCCTAAGTCACTTTTTCACAGCCATTGTAACTTTGAATGGTGACTAAATGAACTGTTGTAAGTCGAGGACTGTCATTTCAAGGTGGCCTTACGGTCCATTTCCCTGGAGATTGATGAACCAGGACATCATGATAAATCAATTCCAATTTATTCTGTTAATCAAGGGTCTTCTATAGCAACTGGAAAATTAAAGCACATTTCTTTGGAATTGTGATAATTTTGGACAAAGTTTCTCTTTGTGTGGCAGGCATAGTATCTTTCACATTTTATTCTTCAGATTGTAAATATACTACAAACCGTGCACTATTTTTTCTCATTAAAGTTCCTCTAGTTTGTTAATCGTTCTCGATTATTTCGATACGGGTAGTCCTTGACTAATGACCAAAATTGAGCCCAAAATTTCTGTTCCTAAGTGAGACATTTTCAAAGTGAGTTTTGTCCCTTTTATGACCTTTCTTGCCATAGTTGTTAAGTGAATAAACTCCAGTTGTTGCTAGTAATATAGTTGTTAAGTGAAATTGGTTTCCCCATTGACTTCGTTTGTCAGAAGGTTGCAAAAAGTGATCACCTGTCCCCAGGACATTGCAACAATCATAACTGTGATTCAGTTGCCAAGCATATGAATTTTGATCACTTGACATGGGGGTGCCATGTGTGAAAAATGGTAAATCACTTCTTACAGTGCTGTTGTAACTTTGGTCACTAAATGAACTGTTGTAAGACACAGACTGCTTGTATTTTGCTTTAATGGAATAAAAATACAAGTCAGTTCCATTAATTTCCAAGAAAATATGCATACTTGTACTGCAATCTGATGCATGTGCTGTATAGAAGAGGAAGGC